ACAATAACAGAATATGTTTTAAGACTAAAGTAAAAATAGACGAAATCTACACATCAAAAAATCGACCTTGCAACCATCTGTTTCGTTTTTTTAAAAATTTAATCCAAAATAAAATTTATTTCTGTCTTTTTCTTGCACAGAAATTTTATTCTTATCGATAATAAATTTTCTTTTTTGTCATTAATCATTATAGAATTTAATTTTATGAAGGAAAAACAGAACTAATGTTTCTTTCGTGCAGCAAAACAGAGAGAAAAACGAATGAAATAGAAGGATCAGTTGTAATTGAAAGATTATCCCAGCAATGCCTTAATTCGATGAAACTTTAAAATAATAACAAACAATGTTTATTAAAGATTTAAAATTAACAACAATGTTTATTTTGACATTAAGAATAAATCTCCCTGACTTTATGGCAAGATTATAGATCATCTGGCATCTGGGCTTCTGTTGATTTAGACAGCTAATTCTGTGGCCCAGGATTCCTTCTTCAAAACTCTTCCAGAATTTATCAGCTAGTCTTTAAGTAAAGTATTGGTGATTACCAAATTTTCATTTAAAACTCAAAAATTAAAAAATGGTTGGATACTTTACAAAATTTATTTGTATAATAGTTTATGATGAATTCAACTTTTATTCTGATAGAATTATCTTTGAAATAGAATTTCCTCAATTTTCGAATATAGCCAAAGCGAAAATTTCTGCTTCTGCACCGATCGATTTCTGCTTCTCTTATTTGAGCACAAACTGAATTATATAAACAAGCAAAATAAAATAAATTTTTGCAAGGGATCGGCACAATTTGTAAAGCATAAAAATTTTTCATCAGAAAGATATGATAAATTTGGGAAGAAGAATAAAACTTAGAAATATCTTTCAGCTTATCATTAATTTTTACAACTAATACAAATTTATATTTCATAAAATTTCAAAATCTCTGGAAGAAAAACGAAGAAAATCGTTGCTTTTATTAGTTTCAATTTTTTAAAATGTTTTTTCTTTTTTTCAAGAAATATGAATTCATTGATTTTAATCGGTAATATCCAATTAATACAAATTGCAGGTGACAATGTTCATTAAAATATTTTCACTGATTTATAAATCGAAAATTTCTTGATTTGAAATGTTTTATAGGAAAGAAATTTTAACTTTATATTAATTGCAAACTGACATTATGTTTCTTTTACTTTCTTAGAGCTACCAAATGTATTTTTAAACAAGTTGAAATGATTTATTTGAACTTCTTAAAAAAAATATATTAAAAAAAAAATAATAAGTTTTTTACAAAAAAACGAAGAAAATTGACTAACAACTTATTGAATAAGAAATTTTATTCTCTTCAAATAATTAAGGTAAAGGTAGTAATGCAGAAATAAATTAACACCAGGTAAAACAAATGATTGATCCACTTATCGATAATTATCTTGAGAAGATCAAAATGGAATAAATAAGAATATCTGATTTCATATAGTAAAAAATAACTGTTATTAAGATTAGAATTTAAATAATAAAAAGTAAATCAATCAGAAATCAACATTTTTGGATAAAAGAAATTTTAGATTGCTAATTCGCATTTAAAAAAAAAGTTGAACATTGTATTAAATTAAAGCAGCCAGAACAGAATGAAAAAAAAAAATAATAATTCCATATATCTCGAAGAAATAAATGAATAAATAGAATTTAATACAATCCATTCGGAATCTAATTGTATCTGATTGAAATTAAAATTATTTCTAGAAAAAGTAAGAAAAAAGAAAATTAGAACATATGTAATCATCAATACATATACATATTAAAATTTGAAAAATTTACTTAATTAAGAATATAAGTAAGTTATAGAAAAAGAGGTTTATCCTTATGAATTTTTTCAAAAGCCTAAAATTATATTTATAATTGAAAAGAACTCATTGCACATAATTTAATTCTACAATTAATTTTATAGGGATAGTGATATTAAAGAGGAGAAAAATTTGAAAGGAATATAAAAATATAATTTCATAATTATTTTATATTATCGATGGTAAGGTAATATTTTTATGATTTTCGAATTTTCAGCATATATTTAGCTGTTAAATGAATAATTATATCAAATCATATCATTTTGTTTAGATTTTTCTTCAAAATATAACTTTGTTTGATGAAAATATCAATTAAAAATGACTTAAATCTTACAGTGGAAGCTATTTTCAATTGATATATTTATAAAATACGATTAATTTTCAGAGTAATGGAACCAAAGTGATGCAATAATTTTTTAATGAATTTCGACTTTAAATTTTCATTATCACTTTGGTGTTTTTAAAATTAAAAGTTAAAATTTCTGTAAAGCTAATTGTTTAAATTACAAAATGGAGTTAATTGCAAAATTGAAGACTTTTAAATTATTTATTAACAGAAATTACCAAATATTGTTAGTATATTTTTATATTAAATGCAAATGAGTACATCAATGTTAAACTTTCCCAAATTTATTGTTATAATTACAAAAAGATGAAAAAGAAGTAACTTTGATTTGGCAAAGTCAATTTTGAACAATCAGTCATTTTTTTTTAAAAAAAAAGATCAAAAATAAAATCAAAATGATCTAATAATTTTAATGAATTTCAATTTTAAAACTTTACTATGATTTCGAAGTTAAGATTTCAATAAAGTTAATTGTTTAAATCATACAAGTTGCAGAATCACTAAATCGAATTTTTTTATTTGTATAAAATCAATAAATTTTCATTTTAACAATTGATCAACAAAAAAATGATGCCTGTAAAATTCAAATTATCTTTGATCAAATAAAGTTAATTTTGGGGAAAATAAAATAAAGTAATCCAATAATATCGATGAATTTTAATTTTAATTTTGAAGCCTTATTATCAATCCCATTTCAAAATGTTTATAAGATTTATTGCTTAAATTATAAAAGTGGCGTTAACAACAAAATTAATATCTTTTGGATTATTTGTCACCAAAAAATTATTATTTTGATTTAAAATTTTTCTAAATCTATTTTTGTAATTATTAAAAACATTTATGTCTGATAAGAAACAAAGTTATTTTTTCGAGAAAAATGAGACCAAAGTTAGACCAAAGTTAAAATTTTTAACAGTTTTTTTTAGAATCTTTATTTTATAAAGTTTACTGTTTAAATTACAAATTTTAATTGAGCAAATGACTTTTTAAAAAATTATTTTATTAGCAGACAACTAGAATTTTCATCATACCACCTGGTCAGCAATTTTATGTTAAGTTCAAAATTTAGCATTGAAAAGTGGTAGTTTAGAATTCTTGATTAAATTGAGATAATCTAGAATTGTAGAGAGAGAGGAAGAGAGAGGGAGAGAGAATGACAATTCTCAATTTAATCAAGAATTTTCTTAAACGTTAAAATTTTTCATTAGAAAGGCAGAGAGAGAGAGAGGGAGAGAAAGAGGGAGAGAGAGAATTTCCAGAATTCTAGTTAAAAAAAAAAAGGAATCTCAAAATCGATAGTTTAAGATTTTTCATTAGAAAGAGAGTGCAGAATGGTACATTCAAAGTGATAGCACAAAATCTTAAATAGTCCAATATTTTGTTTTAAAAATATTTTTACAGATACAGATAGTGCAAAACAGATAGTGCAAAACTCTATAGTAAAAACAGAAGTTTTGAACTTTTGAGTTAATCCGGAATTCCGGATCAAACAGTGCAAAGTTCTATGGTACAAAATTTCATATCAAAAAGAGATAATCCAAAGTTCTTGATAAGGTAATGTATCAATTAAAAATGATTGAATTCCTGAATTAATTAATTATGAGATTATGCGATTAATTTAATAAAAATGCTTAATAAAGTCACAAAATGATAATTATTCAACATTATTTGATAGTTTTTTTTTTTTACACCAAAAATGGATTTTGCTTGGTGATATATTTTTAAAATTGATTTAAATCAATCAGGTGGCATCTTGATAAGGGCAGTGACAGATTTAAACATCACTGATATCAGAATGTTAATGAAATTAAAAAATGATACTTCTTCATCCACTTTATTTCATCGTTTTCGAATCAGATTTGATGTTATATATCAATCAAAAAAATTTAAATCTCGTAATTAATGTCACTGTTATTATTTGTACAATAAACTTAGTAAAAACATTAACGAAGTTACAAAATGATAATTCTTTAACTTTTATTGTTTCCTGTGTATTATTTCCCTTTTTGTAATTTTTTCTCCTTCACAAATACTTCCTCCATATTTCTGATATTTTCTCAATTAATAAAATTCACTTAAAACTCATTTTGATTAATAATATATTAATCAAAATTCACTTAAATTGTCCAGGTGATGTTTTTTTGATAAGCACAGCAATAGTTTTAAGTAATGTTAATTTGAAATGTTAACGAAATTATAAAATAATAATTCATTAATAATGTTTAATCATTTTCAATTCATTTTTACTCGAATTTACAGCCTTATTTTATTTTATAATACATTGAGTAGAAGTGAGTGAAATAATAAATCATTTCCTGTTTCTCTTATAAATTTAAATGATTTATCATAATAACTTTTTGAAATGATTGAGAGAGTGACAAATTGTTGATTCGTTAATATTCTATTTTCATATTATAAACCATCAAATATGGTCTTTTTTTCGTCTAAAATTCAGCATTTATAATAATAAATAGATTTGCTCGAAAATCACTAAATTATTTAAATACTTTGAGCTCATTCTAGTCGCCAAAGATCAAACATAATCTTTTTTCGTGTCTTTGACATTAATTTATAAATATAGCAGTAGATATATTCCAGTGTTAAATGCTAAATAAATGATAAATCATTGATATTATTTGATTGCTTTGATCACTTTATAACTTCAAGATGATTCTTACTGTTTAAATCCATCAGAAGTGATCTTTTCTTACGTAAATAACATTATTTATGATTTTTTTTCTTATAGATGAAAGGAAGGTACTATTTTAAAAGTGATGAAGGTTAATTTTCTTATGCTAAATTTATCATAAATATCACTACAGGAAGTTTTTTTGCTTAAGAATTAAATAAAGTGCAAGCATGAAATAAGTAATAACAAAAATGAAATAGCAACATGTGACAATTGCTAAAGATAGTCGTTTCCGTAATCCCAGTGCTGCTAGTTTGTTGTTTTGTTGCTTTATCATTTGAGTTGGTTTAGCAGATGTGTCACGAGAAAGTGTCAATTGTCGCATTAGTGATGATTTGACGATATCCACGTCTGCTAGACAAAATCTCAATTTAATTTATGCATAAACAGTATTTCGTATACTTTAAATTGTTGCTAAAAAAAAAAAAAAAAAAGAAATGAAATAAATTTAATATTATACTCACCGAAATCAATGAATTGTCTATTCGAAATAATACCAATGAATTGGCCATTGCTAGTATCGAGATATTGAGTAGAATACATTGGTGCTGTTAGATCTACTAGTAGAATGCAGACGAGATGTAAAAATGTGACACATAACCATAAATCTTCCAAGGTCAAAGTGCTTTCTGTTTTGTGATTTGATTGCTAAATGGAAATGAATTTGTAATTATTTGAGAATAAATTAGACGAAAGTGTTTACCATTCCACTAAAGTAAGTATTAAGTGGCAAAAAATCTGAAATTAAAGTCCATTGAAAGAAGTTTTTTACAGCGATTGTTTAGCACAGTATTGAACATTTCATCAAAATTTCAATTTAACAAAAATATTATGTCAATAATTTTAGCATCATTCTCGACAGTTCAATTAAATTACCATGAAAATAATGCACATTAGAGCAGATATTGTAATTAATGTATGTACTTTACGGCACTCGCATTGCGCAAAAATAACAACACAAAAAATGATTGTAGAAGGTAATATATTAGCAACCATAGATGAGAACCATAGTTCTGGATAGCTTATAATGATTCTTATTTCTTTGAATGTCTCTAAAAATTTTAAAATATTTTAAAAGAAAAAAACTAATAAATTGTGAGAAAGAACTTAAAAAGGATGCATTCTCTCTTCTTTAGTAATTTCGTGATGCTTCAATTTAATGACTTTTTAGATCCAATCATTCATGCACTAATTGAATTTCATTTTTGAATGAATTTTGAAAGTAGTTGTCAATCTGGGAACCAGTGTCAACCTTATTTCTGCAAAAAAACGATAAATAGGTTGTATCATTTTTAAATCAGTTGAATAAATCTATTTCTTTTGAATGAATGAATTAATAAATATAATTTTTTTTACGAATGGTGTACTTTGTCATTTTGATTTTTAAAAACTTACCAACATTGACCGAAACTTTTGAAATTTGTTCTGTATTACGCAAATCCAAAAAATCACGGAGAAAAATACGCTCATCTGAAGAAGAAAAAAAAGTAAAGTAAACTTGAAGAAAAGAAAAAGATATAGTCAAATTGTCACTTAGCTTTATTTCAATCCTTCATTTATAAATAAGTTTTAAGAATTAATTGAGAACCTCCAATATTTGATATGACAAACTCGCATTGAAATAATTCGAAAGGATGTCGCCAAATTTCAGATGAACAAAGAAGTTCCACAGAGTATCTGAAATATTATCGCACTCAGTGATATAAATATCAATAAAAAATAAAGTATGAAAAGAAAATTAAACTTTGATAGTCGTTTGAGAGTGTTAATTTGATTAATTATTAACTAAAACTCATTTCGATAATTTGATTTTTTTGACTCATTTTTAAAACAGTACAAAAATAGTATGATTTTTTATTTGGAAGTTTTTAAAGCACTTATCAAATACTCCATCTCAACATTATTATTACTTCAGTACAATTTATACACATTTTTTTTTCGATTCACATTTCAATTACAATAAATTATGAACCGGTAAAGTGCATCAACGATGCCAATCGATGGATCCAAATAGATAACAGTACTGATCGGAACATTAGGATGTGTTATAATTTCCGGAAGCCATGGATAATATTCCGGTGGCATTCGGAATCGATTTTTTAGTTCACGGATGACAAGTCTTTCATCGGTAAATGTAAAACCGAATATTATTTCCATGTGAACTTTGTTCTGTACAAATAAAATCTAATTTAAAAAACGAAAATATATCGAAATAACTATCTCATTTTCTCTTATTTATTTCACTATCGCTGTTTCCTTGTAATATTTCTCATTGCAATTTTAAAGTAAGGAACCATCCAGGTTAGTCTGATGGAAAAGTTATGTAATACTTTTACTGAATTTTATCTAGTAAAAAAACCTACCCAGTATCTTTTCACATTACTTTTGATTTTAAATGGTTTTGAAAAAATACATGATAAGGTTTAGTTGAAATGATTTTAAGATCACAATTAAGAGCAAAAAATGTCCCATTTATATTGGTGACACGATTGTTTTGTTCCTGTGGTCTAACTGATGCATAATAATACTTGAACTTTCGAGTTAATTCGCCATGTTCTTCTGCAGTCAATCTGTTAATTTTCAAAATAGAAAATAACTTTTATAATAAGAAATTTCTTAGACGAATTGCAACTTTAAAAAAAATCATTGAAATATCTATTTTAATTGTCAATTTCGATTTGACTTCTAACATGAAGCATCACTGATGCTTAATTTTAAAATTTTTTCAACCATATAGTATTTTAAACTAAAAGAAACTTTAATAATACTCAAAAAATTTTTATTTTCTACAATTACAAAGACGTCTACTACACCTTCTCATTGTTCACAGCTTAGTATGAAATTGATCAAAGTAAGGTAATTAAAACCTTATTAAAAAAAAAAAAATATCTTTAAATTTAATGAATGTGAGGAAATGATTTCAATCTTACCCGTAAGCAACGTGTAGAAAAATAAACGCTAAAAGATAGTTACAATCCATTGCACTGGCAAAATCCTCTATGAATCATTTTTGCTATTGCCTAAAAAAAAAGATCAAAAAAAAAATGATTACCAATTGAAAGTGTCAGAAATTGAAGCGAATTAAACTATTAGTCTATACAATCTATAGAATCAAGTTTCCCTGTCGCGACATTTCCATTAGATGCAAACTTTTCAAAAATGTCATTTCTCCTTGATTTTTTTCTTTCTCTCCTCTTTCTCTCCCTCTTCTTTCTCCCTTTCTCTCCAACAATTGAGACATTATTGTTCTGTAATTCCTTCTATTCCCGCAATGACATTTATACTTTGCTAGCGTAAATAAATGAATAAAGTTTGAAAAGTCGAGAAAAGCATAGAAATGAAATTTGAGAAACAAATAGGACTGACTGTCTTGCAGTTAACTAATCCGAGAAGTTCATTTAATTCAAAATGCTAAGACTATTTGAAACTTCAAATCTCTCTTTAATTATCATTTTGTTAGCTTCAATAACTTCTTCAAATGATCAGATTATCAAATCCCATAAAATGTTGTTTTCGATTTTTGCTTTCCCAATTTTTTCCTTCGATTTTAAATCATAGCACATTTCAGCTTCAATTTGACCATCTTTTCCGAGTGTCCATTAATCTCTGATTTAATTATTTAATAACAGTGATGCAGAGAAAGCTCTATGAATAAGTAAAAGAACTAATTTAAACAACTTTTAGATCCATTTCAATAACTTTTAACTTTTCAAGTACCTGTTTTCATTCAATTGCAATTTAGCATTCAAAAACATAAAATTCAATTACAGATGATTTTGAAATTATGCTCTTCATGATAAAAAAATAATGAATTTCTACTGAAAGTAAAATGTCTAACTTAAAATTAGGAAATGTTCATTGATATTTATAAACATATTTACAAAATTGATACAAAATTTATACAACATAATGCACTTATTAAAGGATCTCGGAGGGTTTTTAATATCTCGAAATTCTAAAATATTACATGAAAGTAGAGAATACTGGTTTATGAGCTCTTCACAAAATAATGTTTTTACCTTAATTGTTTACACGGCATCAGCTTCTCATTTAGTTGACTAATTGTAAATTGTCCTTGAATCTACAAGGTTAACAACTTTTACTTAACTGACCTCGTTTACGACCTATCAACGGGTAATTAGATTTGCTTGTAAACCAGGTCAATAGCTTTTTATTAGACTGATTACTCTTTCACTACAGGTCAACTATAAGCAGGTCACTCAAGTTCACCGGGGAGTGTGTGTGTCTATCTACCAAGAGCCAAGAAAGTTCAACCAAGAGGTCATTTCAACCAGAGGTCAGTTCTATCAAATTTATTGTACTATTGGTTCTATTGAGAAAAAATTTGTTATAATTCTATATTACTGCACATATTAATATCTATATTCAACGAATCTCTCTGAGTTCAGTAAATCTCTCCCAAAATAAAAATTTTTAAATCTTCAACGGCAAAGGATAGCATAATATTTAGAGGACTTCAAATTGATAACCTTATTGTTATTTTTATTTTAATATTTTTAACATCTATTTAAAATAAAACTTTTAATGAAGTTTTTTAGTATTGAAATGATTAAAAAAGTAAATTTTTAATGTAAATATTTTGATCAAAAGTAATAAATCATCATTTAACCCTGAAAGTAATAACTCATTAGTCATCTCTTCCACTTTGTCTGTAATATTTTAGAATATTGTAAACTTCTTCAAATTTAATTCTTAACCTTTTGAAAACTCCCAGTCTGATTATGGAACTTTTCACTTTATAAAAAATAGTGCTCATCAATCAAATCCTTACTAAATGACCATTTCAACCAGATTCTATTCAAACATTCCTATGAACTACAAGGGAAAGAACAGTTTGACGATCAACCCCATCCTCTATACTTCTCGATCAATATTTTATAACTTCTTTAAAAAAAAAGATTCAATCAATAAAGCCTTCATCACAACTATTTATTTATCTGTCAATAAAAAAACTTACTTTTTCACATGTAATAACTTTATCAACTTACCTATTTCAGTCGTAACCACCTGATATCTTCCATAAATATTTCTTAATTTGTACTGAATGCCTTAGCTTATGTTGTAAATTTCCTTTTTTGAGAATACTTTGGTTAGCACTAATATTTAATCCTAGCAGAAATTACTAGGATGTGAATATAATAACTTCGAAATATTGAAATACAATTTATTGACGAATACATCAAAACAAAAATACAATAAAATGATATTTATACAAAACATAAGTGTGTGTATACAAATATAGTGTAAAAGTATGTTTGTAACAAACATAAATTTTTAGTGGGTGCAAGGATTGGTATATGAACAAAAAAAGATGGCACAAAAGATTTAGCAGTAAGATATCAAATCAAAATTATTTGCATGTTAAACAAAGAAAAGTGATAAGTCAGTTAAATAATTCATCATACTGAAAATTATAATATATTTATTTTAATTGTAATTTGTGTGATGAGTCATTCGAGTGAGAGATATTTGTGATATAAATTATTTTATTATTTAGACATATTTATTATAAATTATTTCACAAAGTTTGCAACAAGTCATATAATTTCAGAAGAATTAAAGTTAAATGCTTTTCCCACTTGAAACTATCAATGGAATGTAAAAAACAAACTACAATTATGAAGTGTATTCAAAACAAAGAAAGTTAAATTCAATCATTTAACAAATTTAGTTGAGAGAAATTTAAATCGGCTAAAATAGGGAAAAGTTGTCGTTAGCTTTCTTCTGCAAAATGTCCAATAGATCAAATTGTCATTTGTCCGAGCATTGGAAGTTTTTCGAGAAGTTTGAAAAGCTACTTTCTAAGTTTCTTTGCTATCAAATGTTACTGGATCTGAAAAGATTTCAGCAAATTAAAACTTTTGAGAGATTAATACTTTTATGATTTAATGATTCTGTAAACAACAAAGCACTTGAAATGTATTGAAATTTCTGTTTAAAATCCTAAGTAATGTCACCAAAAAGTAATATCAACAGTTCTAGTAACCACTAATTATCGTTAAACTTTACTGAATTATATGAATTTTCATCGCTTTAATTTTGCCCATTCCTTGAAGTATGTCAAAGCAAAATATATTGAAATGAGATGGAGCATTTCAAATTGCATTTATTTTCTATAGAGTAATTATAGATAATGGAAGCTACTTCCATTGATGTTCCTAAATATGTATGACAATTTTGTGAGATACAAGTTTAAAGAATAAATAAATAAATTAAATCTGTTTGAAATTTACTGAAAAGTTCACAAACCTTGAAAAATTAGCAACAGCAATAATTGCAAATAATGTTTCAATGATTACTAAAAAGGCTTCTACACAAACAACAATAAATTCGATGAATAAAACATAACTTTGAAATAGCGCCCAGTAAATACAAAGCATTAAAGTAAGTGCATTGAGAAGAAGAGCAAATGATAAATAGCCGCTCGTTTCAGTAAGATTCCCTTTGCGAGCTAAAAGTAAATTTAAGTAAATTAAATGGAATAAAACAAACATTTCCAATTCAAATGATAATTAATGAATATTTTGTTTTTCAAATTGTTATGTAATATGTTAAGTATTAAAGTGTTTCATAATTTATCACTCAGTTCAATTAAAATTTAAACTGAAAAAAAGTTCATAAAGGATAATCGATGTTTACGTGGAAGAAAAGATGTATAATTGGCAGTATGAAACGATTTAGCTGAACTCGATTTATCCCTCAAAAGTATAGAAATATTTGAGCATTAAATTTGAGCAGTTAATTCTTCAATTTAAAACTCTCTTATAATTTTTGTAAACAGAAGAAGAAAAATGTTACCCCAATATAAACGCATCATTTCATTTGGAATGAAAAGAATGATCAGCAAAAATTCGCAAATTTTGACATTTGTCGCATATGGTAGTACCGATACTAAAATTCAGTACTGTTTTTAGTTTTAATTCAAAAATAAATAATGAATTAAAAATAGAATTGAGGGACAGTAAATTCCATACTTTATCAGAAATTTGATAATAATTGAAAAATTTAAAGTTGACTAAAAGTATTACATTAAAAGATATGCTAAACAGTTCTATTCTAACTCTTTAAGGGTTGAATGTATCATACAAATTTATGTTTGATTCAAATTCTTTCGAAAACTCAATTTGAACTTGAGAAATTGACAAAAACATTTCATAAATAACTCAGAAATTGATTAACTGTGTATTAACTACGACAGATTGAGAGAGCAATATGCTGATAAGATATCAATTTATTAATTACAAAACTAAAGATAAGATATGACTCTATTAATTTCAAAACTAAAGGTAAGATATCACTCTATTAATTTCAAAACTAAAGATAGGATATCAATTTATTAATTACGAAACTAAAGATAAGATATCACTCTATTAATTACAAAACTAAAGATAGGATATCAATTTATTAATTTCAAAACTAAAGATAAGATATCACTCTATTAATTTCAAAACTAAAGATAGGATATCAATTTATTAATTACGAAACTAGAGATAAGATATCACTCTATTAATTTCAAAACTAAAGATAGGATATCAATTTATTAATTACGAAACTAGAGATAAGATATCACTCTATTAATTTCAAAACTAAAGATAAGATATCACTTTATTAATTTCAAAACTAAAGATTGCTAAAGTAATTTTCAATTAAAAACGAAAAAAAATGCAACATTTCAAACTTCTGTCTAACTAATATATATTATATAAAATTTTTTTAAAAAAAAGCCATTTCACTTACCTTTGAAGAGATATAAAAGTAAAAGAACAGCAACGAAAATGCATGATATTGGACGATTAAGGTATAAAGTAAGTTGCAATGGAAGTGATGATCGCTGAAGAAAAGATTGTGTCATAGTTAAAAATTTAAAAAAAAAGATAAATGAATTTAGTAAAGTGAAATATACAAATGATAATAATTCCCACAATGCCAGAATAATATAATTTTTAAGCAAATCTATGATTTTCATGAGAAAAAAAAATTTGTTTCCTTAGATTTTTCAATTTTTTTTTTTTTAAATTAAGCGAAGACTCAATTTTAGTTAAGTACTTACCACTTCCGAATTAATCATCTATTGTCAAATAGTACAGAACCGGAATGCAACTGGAATCATTCGATAAGAATTTGTCTGACTAAAATGCAGGAATGAATTGACAGACTTTGTGTTGCCTGGGGCAACAACTAAAACATTGAGATATACACTTGAAAAGTTATGCAAAATTACTATCTTAAGAGTCATTCATTGTTTATGAAGGAGAGAGAGAGAGAGGGAGAGAGAGGGAGAGAGGGAGAGAGAGAGGGAGAAAGGTAATGCTAGCAAAATGAAAGTTAAATATATGAAACAAAGTATTTAAATTAAATTTCACTTCAATTTTTTTTGAAATAGTTTAAGATACGTGTAACAGAGTACACAATTAATTATAAAATATGATGTTAATTATCTCAAATGCAAAGTGAAATTGATAGTTTCTGCTTTGAGTTTTTAGTCGCATTTTGAAAACTAAAAGTATTCTTGGTATTAAAAAAAATGTAACTGGTTTGCTGTTAAAGATTACCTTTTTTTTTTCCGAATTACGATGAAATCTGTTATATCGGAAATGGAGAGAGAATTGGATTAATACTGAAAAGATGCGATATTGGAATTGAATTATGCTGGAGATCCGGAAGCATTCCGATTTTTAATTTGATTCTGGAGATTTCATGCAAATTGCTATTCATTATTTCTTGAAATAATTAGAAATTTTAGAATTTGATCAAATTATGATGAATCACATCAATGCTAAAGTTGCAGGGGAGAGAATTCACAGTTTACGTCATTTGCGTGAACGTTTCATTGACAATATTGTAACAACGAACAGAAACCAATCGAAAATTATAGCTAAATTAGCATAATAGCTTGACAATCTTGGCGTTACTGGTCGCAGAAGTAATTCATAAATTTGTTTAAATATGAGAGTAAAGTTATTATATTAAAGTTATTTTTTTGTAATCAAAGTTCAGTTTATTTTATATAAATTGGAAGGAATTTATAACTTGAAATTTGTTGTTTAATTTGAAATAAATTTAAGAGTAGAGAAACCTACTGATCTATCGATCTTCGCTTTTTTCCTCCTTTGCAACGTCTGTTTCGAAAGTATTGAAAAAGTATGAAAAATAGATGAAATGGATTACCAGTCAGTATGCATCGAATTGATTTCACCATCAATTCAAAATTTAAATTTCTATTTAAATTTTTGCAGCGGAAGAATTCACTAGAAGAGCTGATCAATGCTAAGCCGCATAAATATTTGAAAATTTCCAGTAACAATTACTAAAGCATTTTGGCCATCGGATTGAATTTCCATGAAAATTTATTATTCCAGAATTGGTGCGATTTTTAATTCATTACGAAAAATTTCACTTTGGAATTTTGAAATCATAATTAAAACGAATCTAAAATGAAAGTCATAACTACATGGTACCAATGGTACCAACAAATGCTTATGGATTCAATGGATTCAAAAAAAAATGAAAAACTTTTCAAAATCTCAGCGTTTTGTTTACATAATTATTGAAAATAACTATATTCATGCAAGTTCTTCATGTGATTTTGGTATAATTAAAAAACTAAACATTAATTCTCATTTTGAATTCTTACGCTTACAAATACTACAGCTCGACAACATCTTAAAATTTCATTTTTAAAGATAGGTGACAAAGAGAGGAGACAGTGGGGAATAATGAGACATACATACGAGCAGCAAAAACCTTCGTCACCACTGTCATTCAGTTAAACAAATGATGCGACCCAAAGGCAGAGTGACTGACATATGCGACATCTCGATTTGTTGATTTTTCTACAACTTGTCAACTTCCTATCCAATGTCTTTCGTGCATTTTTAATTTAATAAATTGTTTAAGGCTCTTTTTTTCTTCTAGCTTTTATATTTATCTTTTGTAATGTTGTTTTTGTGTTCCAAAGATTTTTCTAAAATATAATTTCAAAAACATTAAGTCATTCACCTTGTATCACTTATTGATTTGCTGAAAGGACGTAGTACACTCTTATTGATCATTACTTTCAATTCTTTTTATTTAATTTACATTCTAATAAAATTTACTTATATGTTTCGAAACAAAAAATTGATACTTCTTAAATTGTGCCTAATTTTCTTTTTTTTTTTTTTTTCAATTTTTTTCATCTGATAAACATTTATTTACGTACTTCGCTTTTCCTCCATGTAAAATACATTCATTTTGCATGAATAATTAATAGGTCTAAAATTTTTGATTATTTAAAGTTAAATTCCACGAACTCTTTGAAGTCATGTGCTATCGTTTTGCGTGACAATCACGTGACGTGTAACATTGTTTTCTTTATCATGAGACAATTATCAAGTGTATTCCGTCAATTATATCCTGTCCCTAATTATTAAATCTTTTAATTTTTGTCACAAAATTTTTATCATTGCTTTTTTCCCTGTTATTACTCTAATTTGTTTATTATTAATGATAATTATGAAGTGAAGAAGAAATTATACAGAACAGATTTAACTTACCTTTACAGTTGTATTGAAAGTAACATCTATTTATAGAAGTGCTGAGCCTTTCACTTCCATTCTTTTCATTTCTCATTTAAATTAAATTTCAACAATGGAATAAAATTTGATTTAACATCACCATACACTTTCCATTTTATTTAGTAATGAGCTTTCCTCTTATTTCGATTCTTTTCTCTTGTTATTTATGTTTAATTTCACCGCCATTATTTATATTTATCTTTAATGGAAATTACTAATTGTGTTCAATTTATTAGAGCAAGAAGAAAAATCCATTATTATTTTAAATTCATAATTTTTTTCGGTATTTAATTGAAAAGTTAATTTTTTTTTTTTTACTGCTCAAAACTTTCTATAATAGCCGAATTCATATTTGCTTCGTTTTACTAATCGAAATCTCATTTTAAATATATGCCAAGGCCAAAATGCTATGAGAAATGTTAAATATTTGAGTAATGGTAAAGGATTGATTGGCAATACCTTTTCATATCGGTTCTATTCATCATCATTTATTTCAATTATTATTCATCAAAGTTTGAATTAATCATAATTTAATTTATTTATGCTTATATAAAAATTCTAATTGCTATTTGTCACAACTAAACAACATCACAAACTAAAAAATATTACTGTTTTCTAATAAGCAATTATTTTGCAATCATTTAAAATTATTTTACTGATTATTTATTTATTTTAGTAGGGCAACCATAAACAAATGTATGTATCTGAATTAAGAAAAGTATTTAATTATTCACCAATGTCACACGTCTAAATGGTATTTATATTGATGCAAAACGCTTAAACACTTATTGATTATTGTTATTGAAAATATAATCACGTCTTATTGCTTGCGGAAACTTTCAGAAGTGTTTACACTTTTTAACTTAAAAGTATTCATTAGTTACTTTTCTTAAATATAATAAAGATGATTTAGCGATGATTTGATTTGATGGTCTAATTTCTATCGCATAAAAATCGCAATCACAAACTTTTAAATCTAACACACCATTTGTCTATCATAAAATTACTTAGCAGTAATCTAAAGTAATAATCAAGAAGTAAAAGTTAGTCATATAGCCAATGTTTATTTCCATAAAGTTTTTGTCCAAATGATATAATTTATTTTGACGGTCAATTTTTTCCTGAACATTCTTTTTTGTTTGACAAATTTTTTTTTTTTTTGTATTTTTATTTGCTTAAATTTTTACGAAAATAACATAATTTATCTATGACAGTATTAGTTATTTCCTATAATTTATCATCATTCTCCTATTTTTGCCATTTTTATACACAATGCAAATTTTAGGGTATCTATTTTAGTTTGCCCTTAAATTTGATTAAAATTTGGTTATTGTAAAGTATTCAGATCATCTAAACACTTTTTTTTTTTTGATAAATTTTATTTAAACAGAAGAATGCAATGATGGAAAGAAAAGTTGACAAAATAATTTTAGAAAGTTTTTGCTTAAGTTTGATTTCTGTTTTTTTTTCTTGAGATTCATATATATATATATATATATAAAATTTTCTATAGTAAATTGTAAAAACTGCAGTTATGACAATATTTGTCAAATAGTTGTAATATTTGCTAAAAAGACACTTATTGATTACCTGATTACCTTATTACTAAGGTAAATAATTATTCGGGAAAGTTTTAGCAACTCCAAATCTTTTTGATTTGAATTTGATCTTTTCCAGGATTAAAAAAAAAAAAAAAAAGAAATGGTCATCTTTCCTTTCCTTTAAATTATTAATCAATATATGATGTTTTACTTTTATCAATGAAATGATTTCTTAATTTATTCATTCTATCAAAATGTATTTTCTTCTACAATTACAATAATATTTTTGACCTTAAGAGAGTTTTTTCTTTGTATAAAAAGAAATGTATATATTTTCTTTCATTAATGTTAATGAAATGATAACAGTGAAAAGTAGTAGTATTGTATTTGTGTCAACCATATGTCAACTTCCACTTCCTCTCACCCTTCAAATATTATGTTGACAGTGTGGTGAATTGCTTTCAAATAATATTTTAAAGTGAAAATATATTCTTTCTGCAACAAAGTAATATTTCGAATAGAAATTCTTACTTTTTATTCAATGTAATAAATTGAAAATACTGAAAAATGTGTATATTAGTTGTGTTTGTTTTCTGATTCATTATTGCAATATACAAATATTGTCTATCTTTCTATGATTATATCAGCTTTTGCTTGTTTGAAATGTAATTATCTGAGTCACAAATTTAAATGCAGTTTTTTAAATTTTAGATTAATTTATCGAGCTTATCTTTTAAGAACCATAATAATATTATTATATTTGGAAATTTGATTTGGTAAAGATTCATTACTCAATGTCACTAACCATTAGAAAATGATTTTACTCAATTACTGCTTCCGATTCATATTGGACGATTTATATTTGAATAAACATTGAATTATGTTAATCTCGAAGAAGTGTGTAGCACAAAAACTCGAGTAACAGTTGTGACATGTCACCCCTGTGATTATCCATTGCGACAACTTCATATGGACATCAAATTTCAGTACTGTTTGAAGTTGAGAAATTAGTTTTTCTCAAGTTTCTTAGTGTCTTGACAAGTAACAAAACTACTTTTTTTAGAATATTTCTAGAAATTTTTTAAAAAAAATCTGCAACAACATTTTTTATTTATTCATTGTTTTAAAAATTGTTCTTTAAAATTCTGGTCATCCGAGCTTTTTTTTTTTTGAATCTCTTTTCGTACTCGGAATCTTCTTAATTTTTATAAAGAACTTTGCTTATCTGCATAAACTTAAGCTTTTAAACTAAAAAAAAAAAAAAAAAAAAAAAAAACTTACCAAAAAGAAAAAAGGGAAGACTGATGGACTTAAGAGAAATTTCCTAAGTTCTTTTTAGTAGAATCGGAAGTTAACCATTAGTTAATACTTTATATAGTACCTTTACTTACAAGCTAACTTTAGGAATACTTCATTCACATGGAAATCTGAAAAATATTCTCTTTCGGTAATTAGTTGCATAAGTGGCATTGGTACAACTCAACATTATGCTGTTTATTTTATTACAAAACTGTCGAATGTTTATTTATATTTACACTAAGAGATGGCTAATTCCTTTATTTGGTCTAAAAATTCATCCTAGTTGTAAATAAATTTTAACCATTTTATAGTGATTCTATGTTAAAATTGATATGAACAGATCAGAAAATCGATAGCTAATATTAATGGCATTTAAAATTTATAATTTTTCACCTGGAAATCTTTTTTTTTGGCCTTTTCCTGTTTTGCCTTCTCTATTTGCTAGTTCTGCTTCATGTCATTCTCTAAAATGCTAGGCCCGTACACATTTTTCATTTCCATTCTCGAAGTCTATTAATTTTCTGGCCCTAGATTTCCCTTGTTATCGCCTCAACTGTGCCAAGATGGCTGGCCTGATGCTTTGCCATAGGCCTCAATTAACCTACACTACTAATAGTTCTCCTTTTCTTCTCTACTTCTCATTTCATCAATTTCAAACCTTCCCAAATATATAAAAGAACCATTTTAAAGTTTTCATTATTCCATCAGTCTCCCTGCAATTTGCACGTGTTGCACATCTGCGCCTTCCGTTCTACTT